CAGGTTCCCTACGATCGTTGAAGATTGTTCAAGTCTCATACTCTCTGAAGAAATAGGGGGCGGACGCGATCGTTGAAGATTGTTCAAGTCTTATACTCTCTGAAGAAATAAGGGGAGACGCGATAGTTGAAGATTGTTCGAGTCTTATACTCTCTGAGGAAATAGGGGGCGGACACGATTGTTGAAGATTGTTCGGGTCTTATACTCTCTGAAGAAATAGAGGGCAGACGCGATCGTTGAAGATTGTTCGAGTCTTATACTCTCTGAAGAAATAGAGGGCGGACACGATTGTTGAAGATTGTTTGGGTCTTATACTCTCTGAAGAAATAGGGGGCAGACGCGATTGATGAAGATTGTGGGTCTTATACTCTCTGAAGAAATAGGGGGCAGACGCGATCGTTGAAGATTGTTCGAGTCTTATACTCTCTGACGAAATAGGGGGCAGACGCGATTGATGAAGATTGTGAGTCTTATACTCTCTGAAGAAATGGGGGGCAGACGTGATCATTAAAGATTGTTTGAGTCTTATACTCTCTGAAGAAATAGGGGGCAGACGCAATTGTTAAAGATTGTTCGAGTCTTATACTCTCTGAAGGACTATGGAGGTTTTTGAAAATGTTCGAGTTCTATTCTCCTGGAGAAAGAGGGAGCAAACCCGTTTTCAGAAGATTTTTTCAACTCTCACTCACCCTAGAGGAAAAGTGGAATGGATGAGTCTATCAAAGTTCTCATGGTCGGACAAATTTGAACATCTAGTGATCTTTGCTCTATTCTCGTTGCACGACAATGAACAAAGAGGGGCAGCTGTAGATGCTCGATTTGTCCGGGGCGTTATTTAAATTCAATTGGGTTTTACTATTATCGTTATTAGGGTTATTAGCATAAGTTTGGTATTTGTTAGTTATTAACATGAAAATATATGACATAAAATTACATTAAAAATAATAATAATTTATAACATGGACTAAGTATATTTATTTTTACTATTACAGGGCCTACACCAGAGTTACAACTAAAATGGGCCAGACCAAACAAGCCTATTTTCAGAGACCCTAAACCCGTTAGGGTTTTCCTTATCCCCAGTTCCAGCACCGCATTGTGGGAACCGTAGGATCTGGTGGTCTTCATCCGAAGGTTCAAAATGCAAAGGATTAATCTAGGGTTTTCTAAACCCTGAAGTTTCTCAGCACAACCACGTATAAACTGTTGGATCTGTTGTGATCCAACGGCTCCCAACGCACTCAGAACTCCAAGGTAGTGTGTGAACCAACCGAGTGCTACCCACGTGAAGTCCCTCGGGGCTGTTCCCCATCGCCCGTGCCCAGGCTGCTGAAGCCCCGTGACAAGCTCGCGCCCGTGACCTGCTCGTTCTAGAGCCCTGCAAGTGCACCAAATGAGAGCAGAAACAGACAAAAACAAAACTAGAGAAGAGGAGATCAACTAGAAATAACGAAAGAAAAGGGAGGTAGAAAAAAAACTCTCAGCCATCATCAACCAAGGTCAGAAAACAAGAGACCACAAAAACAAAAAAAAAAGAACACATCAAGAGCCATCAGGAACGGAACCACGAAGAACCCATTAACAAATCAGAGTCTACTGCCATTACTACCCAACAACCAGAGTAAAAACAACCCTTACCTTCTTGAGTTGAAGAGGAACCATCACCACCGTTTGAAACCCGAACCCCGTTGGGTCACCGAGGGTAAGCTATCAATTCCGCTTCTGTTTCGGTGTTTGGTTTCACCGTGGTCTATGGGGTCTAGTTCTAGGTAGATAGGTCACGGTGAGGATTTAGGTGGTGGCTCGGCTCTTCATCGGGGTCAGTAGACCACGGTGGTCATGGCGGTTGCGAAGGTTTCTTTAAGGGTGGGATATAAGGCTCGGGTTCGTTTGGTTAGCAGCGGGTTCTGAGGGCTATGTCTCGAGTTAAGGTTTGGTTTTAGGTAGAGGTCTGCTTCGAGTTATCATCGGGGCTTGTGTGACTCCTCATCGGAGCCGTTGAACGGCGGAGGCCGCGGAGGCCCTGGGTTTTTAGGGTTGCAAAGGGGGTTTGGGTTGAGAGAAAGTTGAAAGCGGCTGAGGGGCGAGGGGTTTCAGTTGTTTAAGGCTAAGGAGAGAATGGATGAGGCTTAAGGTTTACCCTAGTCACCGTGTGTCTAGTAACCGAAACGGCGTCATTTAGATGTTTCCAAAACGGCAGCGTTTTGGTGGGCAGGGGTTTGAACCGGGTTTTAGAAGATTGGCTAACATCGTATTAGGTCCTTCCTCCTTTGTTTCGTTCCGTTTTGGTACCTGAATCGAGCTTTATTGTTATTCTAATTTTGTCTCTCAATTTACAGCGCATTTTATTTTAGTCCAGTTACCTGTTTTGGCTATTTTTGTGCAAATTTGACTTTGGATATGTAATTTTGGAAATATTCATTTTGATCCTATGTAAAACTTTGGTCATGTTGTGTTTGCAGTACCTTGAAATGAAATGTTTATGAAAGGGGCATGCTGTTTATTTTTCTTTTTATTTTAGCCCTTGTTTAACCTGTTGATTGGTATGCTTAATTTTGGTTTTATTCATATTTAGTCACTTTTTTTAATATGTATATATCTATATATATTTAAATTTTATAATGTTGCATGTCATGTTTTTATTATTATATTTAAGTCATATTTGTGCATTATATGTTAATATGTGTGGTTTATATTTCTTAATTAAATATATATGTATATAATTTTATTTTATTTTTTGTATTTCACATTGCATGATATTTTAATTATAATATTTATTTATTTACTCTTTGCATGACATTCATTAGCATAATTTGCATAATAGCCTCACGTGCATAACTCGAACCAATCACATAATCGGATTAAGGGTAATACCCTTTTAATTTAAAACTGTCAGAATGATTTTTCTTAACTTACAGAAAAGTTGTTATTGGCGGCTTTAAATTACAAGTGTATCCTATCATTGTCACTAAAATCATATTTTTCACTTTAAAATTTGGGAGTGAAAGAAAAAGAAATGTTCGACTATTTAAATTTGTTGAGAAAAGGTCGTTAGAACTGACCTAAAGATCTGGTCTCAATATTTTTAAATAATCGAATATTCTTTATCTTTCTAATGGCTTGGTAATTCTAGTTTAACCTATTTCGTGACTCTTGAATGTTATAAAATTTGCATTTTGTTGTTTTGAGGGATCATAAATTAAATTAAAGATGAACTTGTAAATTTCGTTGCAAAGACATTAATTAATCGACTAGGTACCGATTTAGGGCGTTGTGGGGTGCTAATCCTTCCCCACACGTAACCGACTCCCGGACTCAGATTTTGATGATGCAGACCTCAGATTGTTGTTTTAATTAAAATTAATTTTATTTAAAATGACAATGTTTTTTGGGTGTCCAATCACACCCTAATCAAAGATTAGTAGCAACTCCTCGAACCGTAATTGTTTTTTTATTGTAAAGGAATTTCCAATTTTTCTAAACGAGAGGTTTTCTAAAGTTGCATTATTTTTAATTAAAAATAAATCGTAAAGAAAATAATTAAAAATGACGCGGTTTTCCAAAATCTCTCCTCGCACCGTTAAAAAATCGTTTCGACATTACGGTTAGTTTGAAACTATTATTTACAAAAGAAAAAACAATTTTTACTAGCATGACATTGACTTTGTAGTCAAAATGACATTTTTAACTAAAAATACTTTTAGACAACATTACCAAACATACCTTCAAATTTAAAAAATCGAAAAACTTATTAAAGTTGGTTGAAAAAATCGAATAACTCAATTCAATCAACTCGATTTTTTTTTTATTTTTCAAAGTAGAATTGAGTTTAATTCATCTCTCTGTATATTTTAAAATTGTTATATATCAAAATATATGAATACTTTCTAACGTACATATACATTAATAGAAATTTTTAAAAAATTTGAACATTTGATGAATTTTTCAAAAGTTTTAAGGGTTTGATGGAAATTTTGAGGGCTCTAATCAATTTTTAGAAAAAATTAAAAACAATTAATCAAAAAAAATTAATGACTTCATAAAAATTTTCAATTGAAGAACTAAATTAAAATTTTCAAAATTCATTTGGATTGTCCGCATACTATTTCAATACATCCTTTTAGCATAATGATAAGTTTAGTCGTTGGGTTTTACACAATTTTTAATTTGTTAATTATTCTTTTTTAAGCAAAATTTAACTTGTGATGAGTCTAATTTAAGTTTGAACCTTCAACAGTTTATGTATACTTTATATTAATTTTATACATATATTTATTTTTATTTTAAAATAATTATTGACATGACATATAAAATAAATAGTATTATGTGGTCGTGAAATACAATTATGGTCACTCCCACAGAAGAAGTCATGTTAATTCCATTAAAAAAAGTTTAATGCTTTAGGTAGCACTTAAGTTGAAAAAAATGATTTAACTTTTCTTGAAAAGGTTAAGTTTAAATATAAATGAACAATTAGTTTTAAGTAGTTTGGAGTGATTATAAGATATTATCTATTCAGAATTTTTCTTAGTTATTGACAACATATTCACACCCAGTAAATATAACTGTTTGAACTCGAATTCTTTAAAAAGAAAAATATTTCCTCTTATCAATGAGATCACTCAAAATATTTATTATGATACTAATAATTAACTATTGGAACTATTTAATGAGGTTATAAAAATAAAATTGAAGTAAAATTAAAATGTAGATACTATATTATAAAGTTAATCATATTTTGGTATCAAGAGTATAATTTATAATTTGGTCACATATTTCAATTTGGGACTTCGTGGGCAGTTGGATAAAGAAAGGGTAATATGAAAAGAAAATAAAGTAAAAGTCAAGGAAGCACTGCTTCCTTTCTTCCGCAATAAAATCCTTTTAATTTCTTTCCCTCCCTCAAAGCAAAATCCTCTGTTTCATATACATAAAAATTGAGAACATCCAACTGATTCTATCTCCTTCCCAAATTACTTGAAGCGGACAAACTCAGTGTGATGGGGCAACAATCGCTGATCTACGCCTTCGTGGCGCGAGGCACGGTGGTGATAGCCGACTACACCGAATTCACCGGCAACTTCACCGCCATAGCTTCGCAATGCCTCCAGAAACTTCCTGCTACCAACAACAAGTTCACTTACAACTGCGATGGCCACACCTTCAACTATCTCGTTGATAACGGCTATAGTAATCTACTTTCCTCCCTCTCTTTCGTTTTTTTTCTATTTCCTTTAGTTGTCTCTCTGATCTGTCTTGTTACTGCTTATTTGATCCAACGGCAAAGCTGCTTCTGTGTTTGTTCTCGTTGTTGCTGATGATAAATATTTCTTCGCTGCTTACACCTCTTTTTTATGTTTATTACATTTCTGTTGGTTTTTTGAAGTAATTTCAAAAAGAGATAGATTCGGTTGGATTTTTTTTCAATTTTTAGAAAAGAGATTGTTAAGATGGAAAGTTGATGAAATGTAAAGTGATGGTTTAATTAAATCTGTATTATGACAAAGGCTTTCTTTGCCGTATTTCGAAGCAAAAAGCATTAACCTCATTTTTTACACAAAAGCAAATTCATTATATTTTGAATAATAAAAAATAAGAATCGAAAGATTTATTAACTAACGAAATGAAGATCTACCATTCATATAAACAGTCATATATGGACATGCTTTATGATTTAATAATCACTTGATCATTCTTATTTTTATAAACAGTATTTTAGTTTTTGTTGTTTACTTTTGAGGAAGAAAAACGTAAATGGTACCAAGCCTAGGGGTGAGCCTTCTATCGGAACGAGTCAAGTTGAGTAAAAAGATTTCGAATTGTTCAAGTTGATGAGTCTTATTTTATAATTCGGAGTTGACTTGAAATTTTTTCTAATCGAGTCAAATTTTTGAGTGTCTATTTAAATTTATTTATAAATATTTATAATATTATAACATTATTTGATTCTTTAAATGATATTTTATAACCAAATATAATACATATATATTTTTTTCGTATTTTTTCCATATTTCATTTATATATATCATATAAAGTCGAGAGACTTGACTCAAATTTCGACTTAAACTTGAAAATCAATCTACTCATTACTAAAAATTTTGAGTTATTCGAGTTGTATTTTATAATTCAATTTGAACTTGAAATTTTTTCGAGTCGAGTTTATGAAATTATAACACGAAATCAACTCGAGTCGAGTCGAAAAAATCAGTTTTTCAAGTCGAATCGAGTTTTGCTCACCCCTAACAAACCTATGCAAAATTCTCTGCTATTGTTTTTTTATTCATTTTTTTTACCCCTTTATCATTTTATAGCATCTGTTACAGTTTGCATGACTTCACAACTATGATGCATAATCTCTGAAGAACCAACATGAACTGAACTAGAATGTTTAGAAACTTGCTTGTTTTCAATTTGTCGCAACCGTCTTTCGATTGGGCCCCGGAATTGGGCTTCGACTTAGATTGATTGGGTTAGGAGTCGCCACCGACCGTTTTAAAACGAATTTAGGTAGGTCGGATACCATCTTACCTGATCTGCGCTGTACCAGAAACGTGTCGGGTTCGGGAGTCGGTTACGGTCAAGGAAGGATTAGCACCCTTGAACCGCCCTTTCGGTACCAATTAATTTATCGATTGTCTTTAATTGCAAAAATTAGAATTTAAAATAAAATTTAAATTATTCGACCCGAATTACTTACCCTTTGATCGGTTGGAATTACGACTGAAACAAAATATGTTAGAAAAAAAAACTACGAAAACAAAATGTTAATATGATAATAAAAAATAAATAAGACGGATAAAAAAGATAATAAAAATGAAAGAAAAATATTGAAAGAAATACCAAAAATAATAATAATAATAATAATAAATGAAATAAAGTAAAAAATAATAACAAAAGGTTGAGTAAAAAAAATATTTAAAAGTAAAATAAAATAAAAAATAAAAACAAAACTTAGGATCAAATTGGAACAAATTGGGCTTAATGGATTAGAAAATGAACTGCAAAAGAACAAATAAAAAAGTTAGGGGACCAATTCACAGAATATGAAAAAATATAAATAGATAGGGATTAAATTGATTAAATTGGAAATTCGGAGGCAAATTTACAGGTAGTGACCGAATTGTAAAGCGATTCAAAGTTCCAGGGACGGCGGAAAGAATTTAAGAATCACCTATTTGCAAAATGGTCCTCCGTATATAAATGGGCCAAAAGACCCTTTCCCTTTCATTTTCCTCATTTCCTCAGAAATCTCATCTCTCTCAAATGAGAGAAAACCTCCCAATCAGCCCTTCCCGGCCAATGGCTGGCCAAATCCCGGCCACCACACGCCGTCGCTCCGACAGCCGCCAGCGGCGGCCGGACACACCCAAGTTCACTAAAATACTCGCCTCTTCCCCGAGAACTCAAATCTGGCTACCAAATCGTCTAAGATTGTCCCGAACAGAGTAGATCTAGCCCAAAAAGGTTCGGCCTTTTTACCTTCCTCGCCGGCGACGCTTCGGGTTCTCGGTGCCTTTTCTTTCGTCGGGGTTCCTCCACACTCCCGGTGCTCTTGTCGACCCTTGATGAAAAAAAGACCTTGCCTTTTACTTTTTTATGTTGTTTTTGGTTCGGTTGGTTTTTTAGGCTGTTGGCTTGTGTTTTTCGTGTTTGGTTATGATGATTCTGTTTTTGTGTGGGTTTGATGGTATGGGGTTTCTGTGTTTGGCTTACTGTGGATGTAGTTTTGTGGTTGTTTATGGATCTTTCCGTTCTCGTCGGTTCTGTTCGTGATGGTTGATCTCTGTGTGTACTCTTGGCTCTCGGTTCTGTGGCTTGGCTTTTGTTGGCCGATTGTTGTTCTCGGCCGATCCGTTGTGGGTTTACTGTTGTCCCCCTGATCCGTTGTGGGTTTACTGTTGTCCCCTAAGCAAGAAACCCTAATATGCTATTGGGCTAGTTCAAACCCGGTTCTTTGATTGCTTGGGCCCTATCCTGGACCTGAAACAAACAATAATAAATAAATAAATAATAAATGAAAAAAAATAAATAAATAGATAAATTAATAAATTAATTAAAAACATTTTTAAAACTATACAATATATGTTTTTAAAAAAATAATTTTCAAAACCACATAACATATATTTAAAAAAAAATTCAAAATTATATAATATATTTTTAAAAACTAATTTTAAAAACTATATAATATATATATTTTAAAAACTAATTTTCAAAATTATATAATATATATTTAGAAACTAATTTTCAAAATTATATAATATATATGTTTTTCAAAATGTTTTTAAAAGCTATATATTATATATATTTAAAAAAAGTTTTCAAAACAATATAATATGTATTTTCAAAAATGTTTTCAAAAACTATATATTATATATTTTCAAAATATTTAAAAAAAACCATATATTATATAATTTTCAAAATGATTTCAAACTATAAAAAAAATGGACGAAAATTGGTGTCTACAGCTGCCCCTCTTTGTCCTTTTTCGTGGAACGAAAGATAGGGCAAAGAAAAAAGGGACACAAATTTTCATTCGATAGATTTGAGAATTGATTTGAATTAGGAATAACTCCCTGTCGAATTTGAGCTGCGGATGGCTCCTCCGTCGCGAAGTCGAGTCCATCGTGAAATGATTTGGAATTGAAACCGTAGTCTGAAATTTGAATTGGAACGTGGCTTCTCGTTGCCCAATTGTAGTCAACCTCGGTCTTCTTCTCGGTTTAAAGACCTTGGTTAAAAATTCGACTGTAAAGTAGTTCATTGACTCTACCATATGGTTGATAGGCCCTTGAGTTGAACGGAATCGAACTCAGAAATGTCTTCGTTGACAAATAGCTTTTCTCGACTTAAGCTATGTTGCTGGAAAACGATTTTTTTTATCACTGAGGCACGGTTAACCCAGGTCTTCTTCTGGACTTGAAAACCTCGATTACAGCCGGACAGTAGTGTGATTGAGGTGTCATCGAGCTGATTAGAATCGAACTCGACAGTTTTATTGACAAATAGCCCTTCTTGCCTTGAGCTATTCTGTAAGCTTGATTTGCCTCTAAGTTGAATATAATCGAACTCGAAGGTCTTTAGCAGATAGCCCTTCTCGACTTAAGCTATACTGCAAATGATGTGCCTTGGAGCTGAGCGTAGTCGAACTCAAAGGTCTTTTGATGGCAGACAACCTTTCTAGACTTAAGTTGTGTTGCAAATGATATGCCCTGGAGCTGAGCGTAGTCGAACTCGGGGGTCTTTGGCAGATAGCCCTTCTCGACTTAAGCTATGCTGCAAATGATGTGCCGTTGAGCTGAGCGTAGTCGAACTCAAAGGTCTTTTGGTCACAGATAACCCTTCTAGCCTTGAGTTATGCTGTAAATGATGTGCCCTCGAAGCTGAGTGTAATCGAACTCGGGGGTCTTTGGCAGATAGCCCTTCTCGACTTAAGCTATGCTGCAAATGATGTGCCGTTGAGCTGAGCGTAGTCGAACTCAAAGGTCTTTTGGTCACAGATAACCCTTCTAGCCTTGAGTTATGCTGTAAATGATGTGCCCTCGAAGCTGAGTGCAATCGAACTCGGGGGTCTTTGGCAGATAGCCCTTCTCGACTTAAGCTATGCTGCAAATGATGTGCCGTTGAGCTGAGCGTAGTCGAACTCAAAGGTCTTTTGGTCACAGATAACCCTTCTAGCCTTGAGTTATGCTGTAAATGATGTGTTTTAAAAAATGGCTTCCCTTAACGGGTTGAAGCCGGTCATGACTCTTCAGGTGGTTCCTTTGAGCTAGTCTGAACCAAATGAGACAATCTTTGGATGACTCCCCTTTTACGGAAAAGCCCACTGATAAATTCTGATAGCCGGATATCTTCCGTTGTGGAATTGAAATCTGGCTTGAAGGCATTAACTGGAAACATGTTGCTCATTGTTGAGTTGAGCTGGACTGGATTTGTTCTGAATTGGTTCTCGAACCTATTTGAAATTGATTACGAGATCTGTAGATATGTCAAGTCGGTTGAGGTGTAGCTTCTCACTGCTGAGCTAAGCAATCACCAACGTTCTTTAAAGGCGCTTGCGAATCGAGTATCTTTTATCCTGAAGTCGAAACTGGACTCTAAAAGCTGCAAAAATCTTGTATGCTAAAATGATGAATGTGATGCACCTAATTATGTCTAAGATGCATGCAACATGAATGAATTATGTGTTATTT